CCGGCCTCAAGATTGCTTTTAATATGCAAGGCTTTGTTCCTGTCATGTTCTTAACTGTTTTCTGGTTGTTTTGTATGTTCTTTATTCCTCTCTTTTTTTCTAATTGTTTGTCATTTTGGTTTGGTGGTTTTCTGTAGTTGTACCATTTGAATTCTTTCTCTTCCTCATTTGTGTGTTTGGTTTACCAGTGAGTTTTATACTTTGATGTGTTTTCATGAAGGTAAATATTATCTTTTTTATTCCAGGTTTAGGACTTCTTTGGACATTTCTTCTAGGGTCAGTCTAGTGGTGATAAATGCCCTCAGCATTTTCTTCTCTGGGAAGGACTTTTTTTGTGAAGGATAATTTTGGTAGATAGTATACTTAAATGGCTTTTTTTTTTCTTTCAGCACTTTGAATATGTCTCTCTTGCCCTGTATTGTTTCTGCTGAGAAATACTTTGTGACCCTGATGGGGTTTCCTTTATGGGTGACTAGACACTTTTGTCTTGCTGTTATTGGAATCCCCTCTTTATCTTTGACTTTAAATAGTTTGACTATAACATGCTGCAGAGAAGACCTTCATGCTTTGTATTTATGTGGGGTTCTCTGAGCCCCTTGTATAAGTCTTTTTCTAGATTGGGGAAGTTTTCATCTATTATTTCATTAAATAGATTTTCTAACCCTTTCATTCTCTCTTTGCCCTTGGGGGCACTGATAATTAGAATATTGAGTCACTTTATGTTGTCCCATTTGTCACAAAGCCTTTCTCATTCTTTTTTATTCTTTTTATTTATTTTTGTCTGACTGGATTATTTCAAAAGATTTCAAGTTCTGAGATTCTTTATTCTGCTTAATCTAATCTGTTGTTGGAGGTTTTGACTGTATTTTGTATTTTATTCAACGAATTCTTCAGTTCCAGAATTTCTGTTTGGTTCTTTTAAAAAATGTGTATCTCTCTGATGAATTCTTTTCCAATTTTCTGTATTGTTTTTCAAAATTATCTTGTTTGCTGAGCTTCTTTAAAAGCAGTAATTTGAATTATTTACCCATGATTTCATTGATTTTTTTATTGGTATCTGTTGCTGTAGAATTATTGTGTTCCTTTGAAGATGTCATATTTTCTTGCTTTTTCATGTTTCCTGTGTCATTATGTTAATATCTGCACATCTGGTGTAACAATCACTTCTTCCAATTTTTGTAAATTTACTTTTGTAGAGAGGACTCTTCTCTGAAGATTATCTATGATGTTGGTTGAGTAGGGCATTTTGGGTTTCATTTTGGATGCAAGCAATAGCGTAGTCTCTATGATCTCCTTGGCTATAAATAGCGTCAGTGGTATCTGTGATTTGCTTGATAGCTTAGGGTGTGGATAGTGGAGGCTGTGGTAAAGTTTTCTGGGAGCTAAGTTATTAGGTAGGCCAGTCTTCTGCCCCAGTGGTACAGCAGTGGGCTGAAGATGCCTGTCTTTGAGCCCCAGAGTGATGTATACTGGCTCTGGTATTAGTGGATCCAAGTGGGCCAATTATTGGGCTTCCAGGTGAAATGCTAGTAGTGGCAGCAGTGGGCCTGGCATGTAGACTTGTTCTCTTGCTCTAGGTCAGCAGGCTTGATGTGGGCAATGGCAATAGCAGTGATTCGGCCACTCACTGAAATCCAAGTTGGTCTGAGCTGTAATGGGTTGGATGGGCCAGTCTCATGGTGCTTGCAAGTGGGTGCCAATTGTTGTGGTACCAGGGGGTTGAGTTGCCCCCACCTCAGACCCTGGGAAGAGTGCACATGTACCAGCAGTGATAGACTAGGCTGGATGATTTCCAGGCCCCTGGATGGCATTCGCAAGTACTGAGGAGACAGGACCAGGTTGCCAGAATTGAGACTTGTCCTCAGGCCCCCTGGTAATATGTTCAGGCATACGTATGATAGGTAGGAACAGGGTGGTCCCCAGGCAGTCAGAAGAATGCTCAGATGAGGGCAGTGGTGGCTTCAGTTCAGGGCTGCCACGGGGGAGGGCACAGACACTCTCATTGGGAGCAGCATAGGTAGGTAGTTGTGCAGCATGTGATTTGCTCATGCCTCAGTCCCCCAGCAGCTTGCAGCACTAGTGACAGTGGGATTTATCCTTAGGGTACGTGAAAGGATCTGGCCTCATCTCCTCCCTGGCCTGGTAGTAGCATCAATGGCACCAAAACCAGGGTAAGACATAGTCCTTTAGGGGCTCAGTTTTCAGAATGTCACTGTGCTGTAGCTGCTCAGGGCTTACGGGCCTGTGGGTCACAGCATGAGCTCTCTCTTTGAAACAATACCACTGTGCAATTTCCAGGCAGCTCTCTGTGTTAGTCTCGAGGCCTGTGAGGGTCGAGGGGCTCTCCTGTGAGTAGGATAGTTTGTGGTGGAAATGTGGACCCTGGGAGGTCTCTCACTTAACCCCTTCCCTATGTTAGGGAGCTTCTCCCAGCTCCCAGCCAAACCCCACTGAGCAGGCTACATTGCTTCCTTTTCCTTTGTTACTTTTGGTGCTTCCTGTCACTTTTTTGTTGAATTCCGGTGTTCTCCCTTAGATGATCTATTCAAAGTGTGAATATCTACTTGCTATTTTGGTCCTTCTCCGTGGTAGAGGCACTTAGCTGCCTGTTGTTTGTTTGTTCGTTTCTTTCTTTCTTTCTTTCTTTCTTTCTTTCTTTCTTTCTTTCTTT